TGTATTCAGGGTACTGCTGTTTTTTCTTTCCTAATCCTTACTATTGTCATTTTCTCTCTACTTCTTTTGTATATTTTGTCACTCTCTTGTGACCCGCTATTTATGGGGTGCCTTAATAGTCTAAGCAGACTTTGTACTATTGAAGCTGGAGAGGTGAGCAGAGTAGACCTGATTCCCCGTTTGGACTTCTCTGTTGACATCTACCCTTTGGCGCTCATATGACCGTATGCAATTGCGAGCACCGTAAAAACTCTACTTAAACTACAACAAACTAAATTGAGCCAAGTTTTTTAAATATTTCTTTCGTTTTTTTACACTTCTTTGTATCTTCTCTTTTCTTTCTTCTCACCACTGAGCCAAGTTCTCCACCTTCCAAATGATCTGTCTGTATCTAGTTTGGCTTTAAATCTAAATCTACATGAAATCATAAAAGTCTATTTATAACAGAAGGCTCTTCCCATTGTATAGATTTACTAGATTTAAGTAAAAAAACAGTTTTACCTCTGAACTTTCAGCCAACAGATAAGAGGTTACTGCATAGTTCTGATCCATTCTTTTATGATAACTTGTGTTTCAGGTGCTTACTGTCATGGGTTTAGCAAGTTTGGCTACAGCGTGGCATCACCAGCGTTTGAGAAAGTTACAGTAGTGTACGTGGATTGTACATAAAGTCATATGTCAACCGTTAGCTGTGAGCTGTGTTTGAAAAATGAGAAATTGTATGTTTCTGGAATGTTTGTGATGTTGCTTGTCTATCCTACTGCCAATAAATCCTGTATTTCGTATTCTGAAAAAAAATCTGCAAATTCTATTAACCTTTCCTGCTCATACTCTTTGCCAGCAATGGTTGCGTATAAACATTTGTAGCTCTCTTTGTCAGTGATCTATTATGATTATAGTTAGGTCTATGACTGAGGAAATCCAGAGAGAGAGAGAGAGAGAGAGACGAGCGGGATGCCCCGTCAGTTTAGGTCGGGTCGAACTTGTGTGCTAGGCTTTTCACTGCAGGGTTGAACAGGAAAGATTAAAAAAACACAGTAGTTACTGCCATCATAGTCCTAATGCTTGTTTAAAATTTTCTATTCTTTTATCTTTAGTCTGAACTTTTGTATTTTTTTTGGGTCCTTTTGATGCACTCCGGTTTGTATATGTCATGTGGACTTTATTTATTTTGTAGAAATAGCTCATACAGAGTGCCATATATCTGCTCATGGTTGTTTGAATTAAGGGTATTTCCTCTTGAGCAAATGGTTTAGTGTAGGAGGCGTTTGAATGGATGCCTGTAAGGGATTGATTGAGAGAATTGAACTGAAGCCTCAATTGGTGAGCATTATTTTTTTTTATGAAAGAGGTATATGTGTATATATTTTTCACCTTCACCTATCCCCTATACCTGATGTCCATCAGGGTGCTTTTGAAGATTTGGCCACCAGCTTCCTCCACTCCTTCCGGTCTTCAGTTTTCCTGAGCGTATCCTTGATGTCCAGGCCTGTCCATTCCTTGATGTTGTCCTCCCAACTCTTATTCAGTTTGCCTATGCTCCTTTTTCCCTGTACACTGCCTTGCAGGATAATCCTGGCAAGGCCAGATTAACGGGTGATGTGTCCATACCATTGCAGTTTGCGTTTTATGACCTGAGTGAGAAGGTCAGCATATGGGCCAATTGCATTTTTGATTAATTGTTTGACATCATCATTTGTGATGTGATCTTTGTATGAGATTCCAAGGATTTTGCGGCAGCATCTCATCTCCACAGCTTTGATCCTTCTTTCAAGGTCTGGGATTCACATGCATACAGAAATATTGACATGACCAGGGAACGCATCAGTCTGATTTTTGATCTGATAGTGATATTTCCGTCGTTCCAGATGGTTTTCAACTTGGTCATTGCTGCTGAAGTTTGCACCATTCTGTAGATTATTTCTGGTTTTGATCCTTCGTCTATTACTATTGCACCCAGGTATTTGAAGCTTCCTATGATTTCAAGCCTCTGGTTGTTGACCTTGATGTCCACTATGCTGTTATTGCTGTTGTTAGACATCAGTTTGGTCTTCTCAGCGCTGAGTTCCATGCTGTTGGCTGTGGAGGTCTTTCAAGACGGTTTACTAAGCTGACTAGTAGTTCTTGCTCTTGTCCCGCAAGGTCGTCTATGTCGTTTGCAAAACGTAAGTTATTAATCTTTCTGCCCCCATTACTGGACTGTTCCTTCGTGATTTTCAAGTAGAGCTGTACCCCGGTAGCAAACCCGCTCGTGCTCGCAAGTCCTTAGTTCAAGTCACAAGCCTCAAATCACTAGGTCAAATCATAAAATCAAATCACCAGCATGATAAGTTGAGTCTGGCCTAAGCTTTAAGTCCACACCAACTAGCAGTCTGGGAAGCCACCCTGCTTGCAATCCGCGAAACCTCATAAGTCAGAAAGAGAGAGAGGGGAAGAGACAGAGACCCCGCTCACAGTGTCACAGCGCGGCGTATCGCTGGGGTCTGCTCGATTAATCGACGGCTTGCGAGCAGCGGACGGTCATAAAGTCTCAAATCTCGCTCGTAGCACAGCAAGACACTTGAGTCCTATGATTTGCTTTGCCTCTCATGGTTTGCTCTGTTTCCCATGGCTTGCTTGCAACCTGTGCCCCGCTACCGCGTTTGCAGGGCAACACCGCTCGCCAGCAGCAAGCAGCAAGACCGGTAATCCATCCTGCTCGCATGATGATTCTCTGGTTGAGTATTTGTTCAGTTGTGCTGATTTGTTCAGTTGTGCTGCGCCGTGTCCTGAAGCCGGCCTGTTCTTCTGTTATGATTTTTTCTGCGTGTGGCTTCAGTCTGTTGAGAATGACTTTAAGCATTACTTTACTAGGATGGCTAATCAAGCTAATAGTACAATAGCTTTGGCATTGTTGAAGATTGCCTTTCTTTGGAAGGGTGATGGTCAAGGATTGAGTCTATGGTGTTGGCCATTCGCCTGTCTGCCAAATCTTGTTGCAGATTATCCATAGCATGTCTATCACCAGTCTCCAGCTGCTTGAACTATTTCTGCTGTGATGTTGTCTATTCCAGCAGATTTCCCTTTCTTTTGTGATAAGACTGCTGCCACTATCTCTTCTCTTAAAATACTGCTTTTGTCATTGTCTTGTGATTATGAGACATTGATCACTCTTAGATCTCCTATGGTTTGGTAGGTGTACAATTCAGAGCAATATTCTGTCCACCGGTACTGAACTTCTTTATCTGCCGTTAGACATTTCCCTTCTTTTCTTTGTATTGAATTGATCCACCCTTGTTTGGTGGGATTCTTTCTGGTTGTTATCTTTTTATTGGTGTTTCTGTGGGAAAGTCACATGGCGGAGCCCATCCCTTTCCGTACCAGACCACAGTCGCAATCCTCCCATGCGATGTCTTGCCTTGGTCTCGAACAAGAAGCCTTTAGGTTCATGTAGAAACTTTTTCTGCCGTGGCCAGTCACGGCATCTTGTGGTTACGCCCGGTGATGCCGTGTTAACATCACCCCCTCACACGGTTTGGCACGCCTGCTGAGGCACCGTCCTAGGGTATGACACTTGGAGCCAGGTGTGAGAGATTTAGGGGTCTTGGAGAGAACCAGTGCACCCATCCATCTTACAAGTAGGAAGCAGCAGCCAAGCAGCAAAGATACTATCTCTCCCCAGAACCCCTTATAAACCCCATATATTCATGTTTATATCTCCTTTTGGGCTGTGTGCGAATATTTTGGCCGAAACGGAAAGGAACTTGTGTAAATGATTAATTTTATGAAATAATCTGCTAATTCAAATGTGTGAAGACCAGCCATTCTACTCTTGAAGCAGACTCATTTTGTGGTTTGTTTGAAGATTTAGTGAGTGTTTCCTCGTGCCAAAAGTGATGTTGCAGTGCAAAATCCGGATTAAAAAAAAAATTAACGTTTCAGTTGGGAAATGTGTTCAATAAACTGTACGTTATTTAGTTCAATAAACTGTACTGTATTTACATTTTGCCGGG